ATATCATAAAGAGTACACATTATGAAGAATGTACAATTACTAATTAGTAACTAAGAAGACATTCAACACACACAAACACTGAGATCACACGCAGTTCTCTAGTTGATTCCGGAATCAACGAACAAGGAACGTGCCCTCAACGAACGGGTGCCCTTCTTGGAGTAAGTAATGATAATGATAATGATGATAATAATAATAATAATAATAATAATAATTATTATTATTATTATTATTATTATTATTTTCTACTAATGAGCTTTCGCTCGGCGGCAGTGTTTATGCAGAACATATAAAGACATACAAAGACAAGTTAAGAATATCATAAAGAGTACACATTATGAAGAATGTACAATTACTAATTAGTAACTAAGAAGACATTCAACTCATACAAACACTGGGATCACACGCAGATCTCTAGTTGATTCCGGAAGCAACGCACACTTGACGGAAAAGTCGCTTGCAGTGTAACAGATGGATTGTTCCAATCAGTTATTGTCCGGTTCGTAAAAGAGTATTTAGCTACGTCGGTTTTTTAATTCCTGTATTTAATTTTGTATGGATGATTCCCTCTTCCGAAATATTGATGGTGCCGTATCCTAGTTCGAATTAACGCTTTATATCCAGTGTACGCTTTGAAAAGATTAACTAGCCTAGCTAAATTTCAATGTTTGCCTGAACGTTCCCACATTATCCCTCGGCCCCCACTCCATCTATTTAGTCTTCTCTCCGTGCGGCGGCTCGGCTCCGCAGAATGAACATTACCAAGTGTACTTTTCGCTTTCTCAATGATTTCTTTAGCTAAAAAGCATTATTCAGGAAACAAGATATTCGTGCGAGAGTATGTCTTTACATCCAAATAAAACACTATGCAGCTTCTAGGGGACGTTCCCAAGTTTTCTTTTGATACCTAGGAACTCTAAAAAACTAAAAACAAACTTTTGGATTTTGACTGACAAAAGCTAATATTTACCTCAGCATGTAATATTTACTCATATTACGCGTCTGATAGAGTTCTGACTCTAAGTACGTCAGGCTTATGACACATACCATCATGACGGTAAGACTACAAGGAAGAGCCCGCTTCCCATTAAGTATTTGCTATTCATGCGTTGCGTGATGGAACAGTTCCCTTTGCACATTTTTGGTATGTACAGAACTGTTGTTATGTATCTATACAACACTGTGGTACTGCAGTATTCGTGAAGACAGTATTTGTTAAAACATTTAACTTATTGGTGTGTGTCCCGAGAGTATTCTATTTGTTGTTCTTGAGCACTGAGCGTGTTTACTTCTAGGGAAATCATTTTGTGAGGATTTGTGAACCAAAATGTTTGCAAACAACACCTGCACCAGAGAAATGATATTTAGACGGTGTTTAGGCGTACCATAAAGTTTATAATCACCCTGCTGATCATATCAGAAAGTATAATTTTATACTCAAAATACTATCAATTGCTCGTGAGAAAATAAACGGTTCTATATAAAAAAATCAAACATAAGTAAATTAAAAAAAAAATCAAACTTGCCCCATGATACCACGTTGTTAAATGAAAACTGCGTTTCGATATCATTAACTATTTAGAAGTTTCGGGATGCCTCATAGTTGGTGGGACATGCTATATATATAATCCCCATCTTTTTTGAGAGTTATGCGTCACATGTTTTCACATTCAAATCCAATGTAGACTATTTTCTGCTGCATAACCTTCTGTGCAAGTGGAGATTATAAGGTGTGTGTTTTGCCGGACATGTTTCAACAATTCGAATAATAAAACGAATATCATTCCACATTAGTTCAGTGCTGATATGGAAAGAGTTATTTTCCTATATCTGTAGGTATTTTGCTATACGATTACATCTCATTCACGTTTTACATGACACCTTTATAGTACATTAATAGTCGTTATTTATACGTATTTTTCAAAGAAAACGTTTCAACTTGCGAAGGGTATAGATCGTTTCTTTGTGCCCGACAATCTTCTTAACAGCATCTTTGCTGTTGCGCCAGGCTTCAGTCGGTTATTTTTGCGAGTGCTTTGATCTCCGTGGGCGGTGGTGCTACCGATGTCCCAGATAACGGATGCGCGAACTTCTTCCGCCGTTCAATTTTCCTTGTCCCTGCTACTTTTCAACTCCTCCACCTTGCTTTTTCCATCAACCTCTATTTCATCTTCCTCTTCTCTCCGCCACGTAACTTCATCTCGAGCTTCTCTTCGTCACTCGGGTCTCTTTTCTAACTTTTCCTTTCTCCATTCCTCCGTCTACTCTTTGTCCGTATGATATTTCTCGTCATCCAGGTCCCATTCACTTTTCACTTTTTACTTTCTTCTTCTCCTTCCTCCTTCATACTTTTTATCTTTATTTTAAATAACTTCCTCCTCAGTGTAGGTCTTCGACTTCTGCGTGCTCTTTTCTGAGCTCGTTTTCATTCTTCTTCTCTTCTTTCCCTTCTGATGCCATTTACTTGTAATCCACTTTTTCCTTGTTCTCCTCTTAGTCCTCTCCCTCTCTCCTATGCCCTACATCCTCATATTCGTCCGCCTCCGATTTGTGGCCGCCCCGCCGCTGCGCCGCGCGGCCAGCTCCGAGATGTGCGCTTGTGGCGTGTTCAGAGACCACCAGCAGGCACTGCCTTCTGTTCTCTTGCGCCACGAGATAAAAGGAACGGCGCACACAAAGCGGGGAAGCCGTACGCCCCGACTATGCAAATATTAGATCCGTCGTACACAGTTGTCTGCTGTTTAATTCTTCTTTTTCGTTCATCTCTCTAAGCAACGGGCCTCTTTGCGAAAAAATGTTGCCACTGAAAGAAGAAACTTGAAAACAAGGGAAATTTTTGAAAGAATAAATCCCATTTTCTTCGAGCAGAAACTGACGCCTCTTTTTTTTAACGTTCATCATTTTTCGTGCACTCTGAAACCGAGAGGACTTAGTTCAACAATTGGACATGAGCTTGTTTCCAACACCACGGAGGAAGACAAATCTATAAATTATGAGGACTGTGGTCGCAGGTACATTTTCCCCCTCCAGAGAATGAAATACGACGCGACGGGAAAATGGGAGAGTCAGTCATAAATGAATGGGACTATTGCCAACACATAACTTCCTGAGAGTAGATGCTCTCCCCTATTTTCTTTTAAGGCGATGGTGTGCAGCACTTCCTGCGAGCGGAGAAAAGTGGATTCGTGTATTTTCCGTGATAATTCCTTCTTGTAGTTCTCTAGGATCTCGAGCGTGTTCTTATTTCTTTGTGTAATGATGGGACTGGAATGTCCCACGATTCTTTGAAAACAAAAGAGAGTAAATGAAAATGCAGCACACATGGCCATTATTGCCTATTGTATTATATTTTGTTATTGACGAAGACTTTTAACGAAAAAATTATGTTCAAGATTCAATATAGTGTGTGAACGATCCGTATCACAGCAAAAGAAAACAATATACATACAATCAATTGTTTAGTGTGAGATGCGTTATAGTTACTACATTTACGTTCATAAAAAACGGTTGGAACAATTTTTTCTGGTTTCTACTTTACTAGAACGAATATTTCTCCATTACAATATTTCATTTATTCACGAAAATTAATGTACCCAAAAAATAAGTTATTATAGAAAAGAAATTTTAAAAAAAATTAACATTGCATGACGAACATTAATACTTTTTTTAAAAATTATTCCTGTTTATTTAGAGCGAAATAATACAAATTCTTCATGAATAGCCCTATTGTTTTTAAAACTACTATCGCCTTTATTTCATTTCAAATCTTGCAGAACTTTGCACATTCTGAACTCGTGTAAATTATGTTAAAAGGGAAATACGGTATATATACCATAAATATACACAATAGTTCTTCACAGTAAACAAGTATCCATAACGGCAATATGAAATAATTATAAATATTTTTACTCATACAAAACCACTATGATTTGCCCCCGAAGCAAAATATGCTGTAGATTCATTTGTAAAAGTTTATTTTCATTTCATTAGTGTACTTTATAATATTATAATGAATAAATACGCACGATTAATATTATAATTGCTTACGCACTATAATGTTAATCATTTCTACTAATTGAGTAAAAGTCCGTCGTGTATGCTTGATAAGAAATGCTAAACAACTGTACTTCATCACAGTTAAAGTTCGTACATGTGTTAAGAACTTTATTCGTATGATGAAAAACCAGCATTAAAAACGACAAAAAATAACTGGATTAAGAATAAAGTCGTAGGATTCCGCGGCCAGTCATGTGGGTGATCTAGGCTGTCCGGGTGACGCCGCGTCGAAGGCTGTGTTGCCGACGTTTCGACCATCCTGTCGTGGTCTTCCTCAGGGCTGGTGTGCACACGTCGGCAACACAGCCTTCGAGGCGGCGTCACCCGGACAGCCCAGATCACGCACATGGATTAAGAATAAACCATTTATTCGCTTCTATGAACAGAACTCATGGAGATGTTTTGTCATTCGCATCCGACATATTCTCAACTCTACAACCCCTCAAAGAGCAGTCTCGCAAGCAGCAGTCTCTTTTTGTTCTTGCATTGCCTGAAATACGCTAGAACTTCGCAATGACTTCGCCAAGGGCGAGACAGTATTCCTTCAAGGTTATCCAATATTTCCCTCTTTGTTTTGACAGTCGGATTTCATAGATTCTTTGTGAGCGGCACGTGTGTAACACGGAATACAAACTACCTCAGAAATACAAAGACAACAACTCAATCTACAAAATAAACAAGCAGCTTTTTACGTCCGTCTAGTTTTTCACCCCGACTTGGCGCGAGTCCATGCGAGTTGTGGCTGGCAGTGCGTCGCGTCGCCGCCAATCCGTGTGTGTGTGTGTGTGTGGGGGGGGCAACGTTATCCGCGCCGCCCCGAACGCACCCCTTCCGCGGGGCTGAGACATCACTCTGGGGACAGATGCGTTCGCGAGCTGCCGACGCCACGCG